ATTGTCTAAACCAACCAAGTCATGTTAACGGAATCTTGAGTTTTTTTCTTTGCAGGCCAAGAACAAAGAAACAGAGGCAGGGACAAGCAAAAGTAGCGGTGATACTGAACAGAATTCGAAAGAAGAGGAAGATGATGATTTAGACATGGATGGTTTCATCGGTTAGTTGTTTCATTTTAGAAATAAATTGTTGAAGTCGAGATGATTTGGTGTTTTTCTATCTACTACATAGAGATTATTTCATAACAATCTATTGAGTTTGTTTCCTCTGAAAGAATCGTACTGATGATTGGTCTTTATTTTATACTCGCAGCTTGCAATGATGATGCGGTGACGAGTTAGCCGGAAGATCACTTAAGCTTTTTGCCCACGCATAACTTATTAGGAACTTAAACCCTATTGATTTTGCTTAATTTTGGGAGGGTTTTCTTAGAGAATTAAGACATGTTGTTTTGTGTTTGTTGTACATAGTAATTAAGACATATAGTAAGAAACAGTAATTAAGAGATTGGCATGAAAACCAAATGAACCGGTTTACAGATAAACCAAGACTCTCATTTGACTTGTTCGATCTCGTCCAATCCGTCGTAATTGTTGGTCGATATAATTATTCGCCTTTGAGAACCGGACGACAACCGGGTCTTCGGGTCCTGTCATTCTAAACCGAAATATAAGATGAAAACGAAATCTAACCGTTAGATCGTCAGCTTCGAAAAGTATGTAGATCCTGATCAACGGCCACAACGTTCTAGTACCAAGTATGATCTTTCTTGACCAGTACATCCCTAAAGTTTTATTTAAGTTCCACATTAGCCTCATATCTCTTCCAATGTTCCAAATAGACCAGAACTTATTACAAATACATTAATTATATTAGTCCCTCAAATAACATCTTTCTGAAGTCAATTTTCCTCTACCCGTAGGAATCTTGACCCGTAAGTCCGCAAAATCCAATAATACTTTCACATTAGCCCCATAACTCTTCCAATGTTCAAAAATAGACCAAGAAATTGCAAATACTAGTCCAAAATTGATCAAATCACACATTTATTCTAAAGTCAATTTTCCTTTAGAATCGCGATCTACAAATCCTAAAATTTCATTGAACTCTCACATTAATCCCATAACTCAGAAAATATTCTAAATACGCCAATTTCTCTACTAATATGTCGGGATCATGCGACAAGAACTCACGCTTCTGGTGATGGTAGTGGTTTAAACGGCATCAAAATTTTTTTTTCTCAAAAGCAAAGGTACACTCCTCATTTCCTGAGATGGGTTTTGAGTTTCTTGATGATTCGAGTTAGTTTTGAGTGAGTGACGAATTCTTACAAAAGAAAAATGTCTTTTGTTTTTTTTTGGGTTGAGGACAGAAAAAGAAAGATGCTGAATTGAATGAGTTGTTCAAGGTAGCGATTAGTCATCCGAAAGTTCCTGATCTTACATGTGTTGTTTTGATGTTGTTTCGATGTGTTTGATAGAATATGGTTGTGGAATCAAAGAAAAATGAATTTAGTAATCAGAATAAGCCAACAGATATTGTAAGCTGTTTATTTCTCTCTCTGTATGTATCAAACTTTTTATTGAGTCCTCCTTGTTGATTGAGGGCTTCATGCCTATCAGTAGTTTTTCTCTAGTTAATGCACTATGCAAGAGTCTGCATTGATATTGTACAAATATTCAGCCTTTAGTAGGTGATGGCTACTCATGGATTATACTAAGTGATGCATCAGTTTTGGTTGCATTGATATTGGATTAAATGTTTACCTTATAATATGTTACCTGTAGCTAATAGAATGGTTCATCTCAGGCGCCATTTGGGTCTTACCATTGTTCCTTGTTTCTTTCTCCTCATTTGGATCATGCCTGACAAGAACTCATGCTTCTGGTGATGGTAGTGGTTTAAATGACATATTTTTGTGATATTATAGGTGTGCAAGTATTTTCTGGATGCGGTGGAAAAGAAACAGTATGGTTGGTTCTGGGATGGTGCCAAAGACACGCACTTCCTCCGCGATATATCCTTCAATCGAAAACGAGGTTTTTATAAGACTCTGCCCTTTTTCCCAGTATACTCATAACCTGATCTTGATTCATGAGACTCACTTGAAATTTTGTTTTTTTTTTGTCTGTGTTTGGCTGCAGAACGACCGTATGAGGTAGTAATCCCATTCATCATCTTCGATGTGACTCGGTTTTGTCCTCATAAACTGATTCGTTATGCGGATATGTAATCTCAGTGGTTGGGAGCTGTTTCTGTCGAATGCAAGCTTGTTTGTGGATGACACGCTGAGGCTTTTGAAGAATACCGGAGAGAAAAATAAGAAGAATAAGAGACTGAACAGAAGGTGAGCTTTCTCTTTAACTAACTCATTATTTAAAACCAACCAAGTCATGTTAATGGAATCTTGAGTTTTTTTTATTCTCAGGCAAAGAACAAAGAAACTGAGGCAGGGACAAGCAAGAGTAGTGGTGATGCTGAACAGAGTTCGAAAGAAGTCGATGATGATGATTTGGACATGGATCGAGCTTGATGAATTGGAAGCAAGCTTGTCGAGAACATCGAAACAATGAATGGTCGTCATCTTATTTTGAGATACCTAAAAACATGAGCTAGAAAACTTTGCTACGTCATATTGGTGTTTGAATAATGTAAGTCGAGATGATTTGGTGTTTATCTATAAAAGATATACAAATCATAACCAGCAAAAGTCTTAAAACATTATTATAAACCAGAAAAGAAAACAATATAGAAGTCATAGGTAAACATAACACGGGATCTCCATAACTTTAAACATATACCATTCAACCAAGGTCACAACATTTGTCTCCTAGTCCATCACAACATTTGAGACTTCAAGGCACATGTGTTGTGGTTTCCCATCACTCGTTTGCCTTATTATGCATTTGTGCTCGACACCTCCACCAGACTCGAAAGTTAAGTAGAAGATTGCGTTCCTTGACTTCAACTTCAAACTTGAGTCTACGTCTTCCTTTGTTTGTACCACTACTCTCTTTACCTTCACTGGGAGATGATGATCAAACTGCAAAACAACAAAGCAGCTTGGTTAGAGCCAAAAATAAAATAAGAATATACTCACTTCTCTAGGCTCTTTTTCCTCACCATGTCAAAATACCACTTGGCGTATGCTCCAACTTCAGCATACAAATGAAGCCAGTCATTCTCTAGCAAATCCGACTCATTCAGCTGCATTTTGAAACATATAACATTTTAGAGGGACAAGGTATTCTTGTCTCCGTGTAACCAAGGAGAACACATCATGGAAATCAGTCCACAGATTGAAACTAACACCATACCTCATAGTACTCGCTTCCTGTAAGTGCACCATCATCTAGCCACTTAGGCATCTCACCTTTATAGAGCACATTTACACCATTTGGGTCCCAAAAGAAAGCTCTTTCATTGGATCCTACGGAAAAAAATTCTTGCATGATCCAATGAAGGAAACAAAGGTGGTGACATAAAGGAAACAAGATAGCCAGGAAACACCCAAACACTTGCATGTAAAATCATACAAGCAAACCTGTAATGCTTGCTTGTCCTGTATGATACAAAAACATACATGGGAACAGACTCAAAAACATACAAGGCCAGCTAGTAACAAAATCTACAGTTGAATGAAAGACATTTTCGGCCATGTTAGTTTACCTTCAAGGCTGGAATATCTTATAATTAAAGTCAAGTCGGCCTCCGGAGGAGCATCCCAAACACAGGTTCTAATACTAGAAAATGATTTCTTGTGTGGATCAAAAGCATCCAGAGTCATAGCATAAGATAAATGTGCAGCACCCGATAGGTAGAGTTTGGTTAAAGCCACGAATTGTAAATTTGTCTCCTACAATGCAATGATAAGGAAGAAGATTTAGTCATGGTATGTATTGGAGGTGACTTGGGATTGGGAAGCACAAGAATTGAAGAGTTATTACCTTGTGAGAATTGTAGACGTGGAGTCCCACCTTTGCAATGAGCTCGTCAGCGGGAGAACATCCAACGTCTTTTACGCCACAATATGGTTTATTTCCCTACAAATTCAAAAATGAAACATTACCATTCGTTGAGAAAGTATAATTTCTATGCAGATGCAAAGGAGCAACTTTTTCCCATAACACCCAAAAAGGAAAAGACCTAGAGGGTTATGAAATCCTACAACCTAGGCTAACAAAGAGCGTTGTGAAATCGATTACAAAGGCGAAGGGATTAAAGGATTACCACAGAGTCGTCGTGTGATTCGTCCTCTAAGGGTGAACGTGGAGAATCGTCCCAAGTTTGGAGTTTGTAGTCCGTATCCCAGATCGAAGACCGGAGTTTCAAATTGGGGGAAGATTCTTCGTCTACGGGTGAAGAAGGTGGAGAATGGACCAAAGTTTCGAGCTTCTGCTTTTGCTGCGGCGGATTGTTGGCCGGATCCAAGATCACAGACTGGAGTTTCACATGGGAGGAGGATTCTTCGGCAGAGGGTGAAGGTGGGGAACAGACCGGAGTCTCAAGCTTTCGCTTTCGCTGCGTCGGCGGGTTGATGACCGGGTTGAAGATCGAAGGACAACTCTTCATCTTTCCGAATTTCGAGAGAATGGAGAAAAGGAGACGCTTAATTAGGGCATTTTGTAATCGCAACTTTCCCTTTCTTTCTTTTTTTTCACCCCCTCCACTTTCACCTCTTCATATAGATAGACCCCCAAATTCCTGTTTCCTTCATATTCTGACCCCAAATTAATTATTCGGTCGGAATTATTTTCAGCGATAAAAGAAAAGAAAGAGGACAAATCCAATAATAAACGTAGCCGCATTACCCAACCTCACATCGAAGACGCTATTTTTCGAATCGGTCACTCTCGTTATCCATGTTAACCGGAATCAGAAACTCCTTCGTGTTACCCTTGAGGACATGTCTAAAGCCGACTCCTCTCCGACTCGTGTCGTGGCCACCACGCGG